GTGTGTGTGTGTGTGTGCAAATATGCCCATTTACTATTTTAAATTTACAATTGCAGTATTGCAGCTCCCGTTTAAGTCTTCAGTAAATGTTATCACACCAAATGTCAAGGACATATCCGACCTTTGTGAAATAGAACGTGTTGTTGCTATTCCTGACGCTGAGGATGAATTTCCATCAGAAATAAATGTTGGTGAAGGTGAGAAAATAAGGCGATCAATTTGCGCACGCATGCTAATGACTTAATACTTACTATTGTGTTACTTTTTTAGATATAATCACCAGTGAATATTGTGACCTTGGTGATATAAGTAATAATTGTGAACATTGCGGGACATTGTTTTGGTACGATGAAAGAACGCTGCGTAGTTCTACTAAAACAAAGCCTACATATTCTGTAAGTTGCAGCCAAGGGAAGATCAAACTAGCACCTCAGAAAGAGCCTCCAAAAGAATTGTGTGATTTGATAAATGGCACAGATCCAAAATCAAAACACTTCCAAGACAATGTTCGATCATACAATAGTATGTTTTCTTTCACATCAATGGGCGGAAGGGTGGATCAAACAATCAATAAAGGTGGGTCACCTCCAATTTTTAAACTGAGTGGTCCAAGTTATCATCGAATTGGGAGTTTGTTGCCTGAGGAAGGCAATACCCCCAAATTTGCCCAATTGTATATCTATGACACGCTGCATGAAGATGCTAATCGTCTCACCTCAGTGGAGTAATACACTGATACAGTATAAAATTTTATCATTTTCAATATGTCATTATGTTATCATGCTAAACAATATAGTTTCCCTCTTTTCGCCAAATTAGGGATGATCGACGAAAGAACAATTTGCATAAAGATATTGTTTCTACACTCAGGCAGATGCTGGATCAACATAATGTTTTGGTGAAGTGTTTTAGGATGGTTAGAGATAAGATTGTTCAATGTGGACATTCAAATGTTAACTTGAAGTTAATAGGCCGGAGAACTAGAGATGCTAGAACATACAATTTGCCCACAGTGTCTGAAGTGGCGGCTTTGATAGTTGGGGACTTTGATGAATCTTTGGGGCAGAGGGACATAATAGTGGAAACCAAAGGTGGTGTCTTGAAACGAATTAATGAGTTGAATCCTGCATATTTGGGGCTACAGTATCCACTTCTATTTCCTTATGGTGAAGATGGGTATAGAGAGGATATAAGTTTTTCAGATTCTAATACTAATAGCACTAAAGGTCGTCGAAGTGTTAGCATACGCGAATTCATTGCATACCAATTGCATGATCGTGGGAGTGAGAAATCATTTATCCTCAAAGCTAGAAGATTGTTTCAACAATTTGTGGTGGACGGATACACAATGGTTGAATCATCAAGACTAACTTATATAAGATTGCATCAAAAGCAATTAAGATGTGAAATGTACAAAGGTCTTTCAGAGGCGTCATTGAGTGGCGAATGAGATGCTTCTACCCAAGGGAAGAGAATAGTACTACCACCGACATTTGTTGGAGGAGCCAGATATATGGTTCAAAACTACCAAGACGCAATGGCATATGTCGATGGGCTGGATATCCAGATCTTTTCTTGACTTTCACTTGCAATCCAAAATGGCCGGAAATTGTTAGGTTCTTTTATGAAAGGAATTTGAATGGTGAAGATCGACCAGATATAATATGTCGACTCTTCAAAATGAAGTTAGATGGATTGATCAAAGATCTCCGACAAAATAAGATCTTTGGTGATGTTCGAGCAGGTTTGCAATATCTCTATCCCAATTGGTTTAATGGTTTAATCAAACAATTGTTCGTGTTATATAATAATTTATAATTCATTACAATGTCTGCTATTGTTTCATGCAGTAGTTTACACTATTGAGTTTCAGAAGCGTGGCCTCCCACATGCTTATATATTGTTGTTCATGGGAAATGCAGACAAATTTCCCACTCCGGTAGATATAGATCGCATTATTTCAGCTGAAATACCTGATGAGTTAAGTGATCTTGATTATTTTCATGTTGTGCGAATGCATATGATGCATGGACCGTGTGGCACTGATGCAAAAAACGCTCCGTGCATGGTTCATTCTAAATGTTCTAAGCACTTCTTAAAGAATTTCAATGTACAAACTAACATTGACGAAGAAGGTTATCCTAAGTACATGAGGCGGGATAATGGGAAAACGATTGTGAAGAACCGTGTTGCACTTGACAACAGATATGTTGTACCTCACAATAGATATTTGTTGATGAAATATGGGGCTCGCCTTAATGTGGAGTGGTGTAACCAATCAAGGTCTATCAAGTATCTTTTCAAATATATGAATAAAGGTCATGATCGTGTCACAGTTGCATTTTATGAGACCACGAATAAGGATGATTCAGAAAAGCCCGTGGATGAAATAAAGTTGTACTATGATTGCCGATACATTTCGCCATGTGAGGCGATGTGGCGAATATTAGGGTTTGAGATACAATATAAGAATCCATCGGTTGAGCGTTTGAGTTTTCACTTCCCTGATGAGCAGTATGTATATTTTGAAGACGATGCTGCAATGACCGATGTTGTACAACGTGAATCTGTTAAACAAAGTATGTTTCTAGCATGGATGAGGGCCAATGAATTGTACGCGGAAGCTAAAAATTTAACTTACGCTGAATTTCCTCAGAAGTTTGTTTGGAAGCCAGCAAAAAGGGAATTTGTTTCTCGGAAAAGGGGGTTTTCTTTGGGTCGAGTCACATATGTACCTCCAGGATCAGGAGAATCTTATCATTTGCGATGTATCCTAAATTTGAAGCGCGGTCCTATGTCTTTCACCGATTTACGAACCGTTGATGGGGTTTGTTATGAATCATATCGTGACACATGTTACGCATTGGATTTGTTGGACGACGATCGAGAGTACGTCGAAGGTTTTACGAAAGTAGTTTTTGGGCTTCTGCATTGGGACTGAGAGTTCTATTTGTCATATTGTTACTAGCAGATACAATGAGTAGACCTGAATACGTTTTTGAGAAATGTTGGAAATTTATGTCTGATGACATTCTTCACAGATAACGACGAGCATTGCTACATCCAGGTTATAAAGAAATTACAATTTATTTATTTGTAACTACATTTTTGTTTATAATTTGCTAAATTTGCTAAATTATAAGAATTGTACAATTAAATGTTATATTCTTTATTGTAGAGTTAATGTTAACGGAAGATGAAATCAAGAATTATGCATTGCTTGAAATAGAGACAATGTTAAGGATTCGGGGAAGAAGCCTAAGGGACTATCCATCAATGTCATTCCCTAATTGTAGTAACGCAACCATGTTTCAAAACAGGCTTATTTATGACGAGTTGCAGTATGATCATGTTGAAATGCGCGAACAACATGAAAAATGCATGGAGAGTTTGAATGAGCAACAAAGTGAAGTGTACAAGACTATTATGGAATCCATTGAAGAGAAAAAGGGTGGACTGTTCTTTGTATATGGGTACGGGGGTACAGGGAAAACGTTTATTTGGAAAACGTTGTCGGCAGCTTTGAGATCAAAGGGTGAAATTGTTTTAAATGTGGCTTCAAGTGGGATTGCTGCATTATTATTACCTGGTGGAAGAACTGCTCATTCACGCTTTGCAATACCAATCAACCCAACTGAGCACTCGACATGCAACATCAAACAAAACAGTCCATTAGCCCAATTGATCATTAGGTCTAAACTTATAATTTGGGACGAAGCGCCAATGATGCATAAATATTGTTTTGAAGCCTTGGACAGAAGTTTCCGTGACATTCTTAGGGTTGTTGATCCCCAAAACAATGATAAGCCATTTGGAGGGAAAACTATTGTTTTGGGAGGAGACTTCAGACAAATCTTACCGGTCATTACCAAAGGTACAAGACAAGACATAGTTAATGCCACAATTAATTCTTCATACATATGGCAAGATTGCATTGTTTTACGCTTAACAAAGAACATGAGACTGCAATCTTTGACTAACGATCGTGATTATGCTGACTTGGTTAAGTTTGCTGAGTGGATAGCGAGTTTGGGAGATGGAACGGCTAGTGGTGAGAATGATGGTTGCGCTGATATAAAAATACCAAGTGACATTTTGCTTCAAAGTGGTGAAGACCCAATTGCAATAATTGTACGCAGTACGTATCCTGATTTTGAACATATGCCGACTAACCCATCATTCCTAAAAGAACGTGCTATTTTGGCCCCAACACTTGATGTTGTTGACTCAATTAATGAGTACATGACTGCATTGAACGTGACAGGTGAGTCTAGGACCTATTTGAGTTCTGATAGCATTTGCAAATCAGACTCAAATTCAAAGTTCTTGGCTGATTTGCATACACCGGAATTCTTGAATAAGATATGTGCATCTGGTGTTCCAAATCACGAGTTGACTCTGAAGGTTGGTATTCTTGTTATGCTTCTAAGGAACATTGATCATTCCATGGGTTTATGCAACAGCACGAGCTTGATTATTACAAGGCTTGGAAATCATGTTCTTGGAGCAAAAATTTTAGGAGGGAAATTTGATGGACAAGAAGTGGTCATACCCAGATTGACACTAACACCTTCAGATGCAAGAATACCATTCAAGTTCCAAAGAAGGCAATTCCCAATCATGCCCTCTTATGCAATGACTATAAACAAAAGTCAAGGTCAATCTCTGTCACATGTTGGACTTTTACTAAAACAAACAGTCTTCACTCACGGTCAACTTTATGTTGCAGTGTCAAGAGTTACCAATCGTAAAGGGTTGAAGATATTGATCTGTGATGAGGATGACCAACAAATCGATCATTTTAATAATGTTGTTTATAAAGAAGTCTTTCAAAATTTGTAATTTCATTACGTGCACTTATTGTTATTCTTACCACTTTGTACTTTCATATGTTATGTCTATCTTCACTGCGAACACTTAATATGCTACTTACCACTTTATTATGAGGTCAATTCTTTTTGCGTTTTTATAATACACTTCTTTATCACACATTGGTAAAATTTCATCCGCGCATCGTGCAGGTGAGAATCTAGTTATTATAAAGCTAGACATTATTAACATGTGTTGTGACGTTACAATTAGCCTTTCAAGTTTCAACTTGGCAAATGTGACGTTATTTTACACCTCAACATTTTTACTTGCTTATTCGGTGAATATCAAATGCTGATCAAACAAAGCAAGACATAATATATTGTGTCAAGAACAGAAAACAAGTTTCATAAAACGTACATAAAAAAACAGTAATTCAAAAACCACTTTGGGCCGTCGCAATAAACACAGCTACAAGATAAAAAGAATCTTGCAATTTAAGAAAAGCAATCATTAAGCAGCAGCACCAGCCGCCTTGCCCTTCTTCCTCTGCAATTTCTTCATGTAAAACTCGAGTTCTTTTCCCTCCAAAATGTACCTGTCAATGTCATTCAAAAAGAGCAAAATAAGGAGAATATTGGAACAAACAAATATTGACTGAATATATAGATCTATGTATAGCAATGAAAAGTTTAATGGTTTCAGGGCTTTTACCCATCAGCTCTGCCACATTGGCCAGGCCTGGAGGAAATGCACGCCATAAGCCTACCAGAACTAAATTGCTCTTCGAGGTGAGGATCCAGATTACGGTCCTTCTGACGTGCCTCTAGTTTTCTTTCAACATGTTTACTTTTCTTAGTCTCCTCAGCAGCAGCAGCTTCACTTACCTCCTGTCATTGTTAATTAAAAAACAGTCATCAAACTCACAAGTACGGAACACAAAAACTCCAAAATGACAGTCACTTATCACGTAAGTTTAACGCCACATCAAGGGAGTATTTGGTCCAAGAAATGCTAGGGAACAGAGAAAATACTAAAAATGTTATAATTTAGGTTAGCCCTTGACTTCAATAATGTAAATTCAAAGCGAACTATGATTAGCTTTAGTAATTATTACTATCCAACACATTAGTATTCCTAACTTCATACTAATAAAAATTACACAGTAAAAGTAAAGAAATCTTGATTCTTAACAAATATACCTAAGATGTGAGTTTTGGTGTCCTGTAAATTCAATTACGCTAAATGTTCTTTCCCAACATTGGTATTCTATGTTTACATTTCCGAACAGAACTAAAGCATCTTCAGAAAGAATAAATGCATTGCATGTATGTAGCTCATCGGAAAGTAGCACATCATTAGAAAGCGTGAAGGTACCTCGGCAGAATCCTTCTTGGCAGTTCCCTTCTTCTTCCTGCCAATATCAACACCATAGTGCTGGAGATACCACTGTTTAAAGGGGGCAGCATCTACCTGAACAATTGCACTCTTGACCAAGGTTTGTGTTCGGACAAGCTCATTGTTCGATGCATTATAAACCACATCAAGGATACGGGTTTTACGGGTAACTGCCTCACTCCCCCATGAGTAGTTTCCAGTATCCAATCGTAGGGCTCTCCATTTCACATTTCCACCTCGAACACGGACCCGTCTTACGGTTTTGTTGCTTGAGATCTTTGTATTTGCTGGCTGACGTCCAAGCTCGTACCTTTTTACATGGAAATAAGATTGAGCAAATTAAACTAAAGTGAGTAGCTGTTGCTCTGGAAAACAATTTGTATCCTGTACTTCCAGAAATTATCAGCAAGAAATAACCCAAGGGGCTAATACTAACTGAACAAATTAAACTAATGTCGAGTATTCACAGCCTTAGCTTATTCCAAACACAGGTAACACAATATGGCAGGGTTTGTATTGCAGACCACGATACAATAATGATGAAGGCAACCAATTGCGGTGCATCATAATGGTGTTGCACAGTGTCATCAAAAGTGACACCCAGCTCACCAGGCGAGGCGCACATGAGGGTCAGTTCTTGTTAAGATGTTTTTAGTTGGTCTTATTTCAGTTTCAGTCCAGACCAGATTAGAGTTAAACAGATCAGACTTTGACAATTATAAAATACGCATACACCAGACATCTACCAAACAAGACCAGTTCAGAACAGACTTAAACATACTAGATAAGAGTTTGATAAGACTAGACCAAAAGGGCAGAAAACGCACTTCTAAGTGGCCTGGGCAAGGAAAGCCTTATCAATCTATTTTTCAGTTTAATCCTACTTTAAAGAATAAGCTCATTAGCTCGTATTTAGCCCATCCAAATAATACATCAAAACAACTTAAACCCAGGTTAAACCATTGATAGTGGCAGTATAAGTCTTCTATCACTTCATCGTTACTCTCCTATGCTCTGTGCTCTACTCGCGCAACCTGCTCAATGCTGAAACCACATTCAACAATCAATCCACAAAAGCCAGAAACTCATAAGGTGTCTTATTCTTCTTCATAATTTTCCCATGTTCTTTCTCCTCTCTCTTCCAGCTTGTAGCTTTCATTTATTTTTTCATCTTCTTGTTGACCCTTTTGTTTTATTCTTTCAGCCTATCTTCTTTCATTACTTTTATCACTTACAGTCATCTATGCATACTTTATAGTTATCTTTTCTTCTTATATATTCTGTACAACTCATACATATTATATGCACCTGACTACCTGTATATAATTGAACATTTCAACATCTTTTTACAATCATTTCATATTTTCATTGTATAAAAACTTAGTATGATCTCACTCAATTAATAGTTACGTACACTATATATAATTTATTTTTGCTACCCTGGCCCTCAAACTGCAAAATTATCAAAAACAGACCCTGCTTTTTTTTTGTTTTTGTGAACTATGACTTTATTTTGATGAATCGTGCCTTTGTTTTTTAGAAACATGCCTTTTTAATACATTTAATTCACTGTGATGTTGAATGTATCATATTTGATCACTCTAGAATAGTATACATAATATTTCCTAAATAGTGCACTTGGCATGAGTGAGGTGAGAGCTTTTCTATGACCCACGATACGAGTACTCTAGCGGCTTTTGTGCACCTCTCAACATTGACTAACCTGGCGGTGCAATAGGCATCATAACACCGACCTTTTTCTTTAGTTACAAAATTCATATAATTCGTTATTATTTCATAAGAACTTATAATATGGAGTACGCCACTGTATAAGATGCTAGGGTAGAGGCAGTTTCGAAAAACACAGTAGGGGAATTATGAATCCAAAAACTCAGCAGAAAATCATCAACGCACAAATGATAATATGCCACGCCAAGACTGAAAATAATATTGATTTCCGCTAGTAGAATCATATCAGCCAGAGATGTTTGGTATGAATATAATTTAAACTTCACAACGGAAAAAGAGTAACAATAAACAAAGAAAAAAGACAGGGAAGAACCTACTTTCGCTTCTTCCTCCATGACTTCTTCTTGCCACCTGTTGCACGCCTCTTGTGCATTGAATCACGGGAGATACCTTATTGAAATCAGAACGATCAGCAACAAGCACAACCATGAAAGAAATCATCACACTGACGAAAAATAATATGCCTTTTACGGTGAAATAAAAATACATTGTTAAATAGCTGCCATTATCATCCAGTTCTTAGAACAGAAGAGTGAGATCAAGGTTTGGAGAGTATACCCATGTTTGGGAGAGAAGTATTTCTCCTTCACGCAGGGAAGCTCAGACTGCAGCTAGATGTGAACCCTAAAACGCCAAACTGGAGCTGAGTTATATACAAGGGTACGCTGAACTCGGCCCAGTGGATTTGCCCTCTTTAAAGTTGCCGGGCTCTGTAACATTTTCAATTCATTAATTAAATTTGTTTCTTAATACTCCCTCGGTCTCCCTAATATTGTCACGGAAGAGAGTGGGGTGATTTTTAAGAAATGTAGAATTATGTGATTGATAATGAATTTATAAAATGTAAATGCAGTAAGAATGACTTAGAACCATACAAATGTTACCAAATATAGTATGAGACTATAATTGGAGGACATTCAAAAATATAAAAATGAGACAATTATAGGAGAATGAAGGGAGTAGATAATAATACCTTCACATGTGACAAGGCTCTAATAAATTTTAATCAATTTTAAAATTGAGGATGTTTTTACTTGAACTGAAATTTACTAATCTGGTCTGGTCTGGTAAATGTCAAGTCTTTGTGTATTTTATAACTATCCGAGTCAGTTCTGGTATGGTCTGATCTGGTCTGATTTGGTCTAGGACTGAAAAAAATCCAAAGTAAAAACATTTTGATTCTACAATCAATAATTTGGTGGAATGTGGTAGACAATCTATTTATATATATAGATTGAGAGACACTTAAGTTTATTTAAAGGCAAAATTGTAATTTAAAGAGCTATTTGTTTTCTTATATATATCCGTGTGTGTGTTATCTTTAATATGACATCAATATGTTATCTTTAATATGACATCAATATTGAATATAAAAAACATGTTAATTTATGTAGTTTAGAATCGTTTTTTATGTGCACACTATTAGTCTAGAGTGAACTGTGATGTATTTTTTATTAATTGTCTTGAATAGGAGTAATAATCCTTGAAAATAACAATTTGTTGTTTTACCATCATATGTTCAAATAGCATATGTTTAAAAAACAATCCGCTATTTTCTCTTTTTTTAAAGAAAAATGTCACAAAGTTTATTATAATGTCGATATTATCAACTGTTATATCACTTTATTGGTAAAAATATTAAAGGGCAAAATAATAATTGTTGGATCGATACACCCCTCTTCGGATTCGACAAGCTTGTTAGATCGATACACCCTTTTTGGATTCGACTAACTTCCTAGTGGGTCATCCATCCTTGGGCTTTCTTACCTCGGACCCGCTTAACTGCAGAGTTCTGTGCTTAAATAGCAGTCATATCTTTCTTAAAACCAATTAGTGATAAGGAAGTGAAGACCCTCTATTTAACCCATTACTCTGTAATCCCCAAGTCAAGGTAGATTTCTGTGGGGCACCTCCCACAGTTCACTGCAGAGAGGTGGATGGAGATGAGGGGTTGCACCACATCGTGGTGCCAACAGGTTGGGCAGTTAGTTCCTGAATCAAAGGGTGGTGTGTATCCCCCATAAGACCAACAATCACCCCCAGCACCAGCCGGGAGATTCACCTGTGACCTTACTCTGATACCACTTGTTGGATCGATACACCCTTCTTCGGATTCGACAAGCTTGTTAGATCAATACACCCCTTTTGGATTCGACTAACTTCCTAGTTGGTCACCCATCCTTGGGCTTTCTTAATTACCCTCGGACTCGCTTAACTGCAGAGTTCTGTGGTTAAATAGTAGCCATATTTTTCTTAAAACCAATTGCTAAGAAGGAAGTGGACACCCTCTATTTGGCCCATTACTCTGTAGTCCCCAAGTCAAGGTAGATTGCTGTGGGACACCCCCACAGTTCACTACGCCAGTGCAGAGCCCTACACATCGTGGTGCCAACAGATTGGGCGGTTAATCCCTGAATAAAAGGGTGGTGCTGACTCCCCGTAAGACCAACAATAATATCATTAAAGAACCATATCACATTGAAAGGAAAAAAAAATTGTTGAAAAATAAAAATTTTGTTAAAAATAACATTATTGGTAAAATGTTAAAAGTTACATTTGAATCTCATTTCAAGTTTTCAACTTGACACGAATTCAAAAAACCTATTTTTTAATTGTCATTTGATCAATTTAATGAGCTTATTTGTTTTAGTTATTTGTATTCACTAGTACAAAAAAGGTTTTTCACATCGGTCAAAAAAGACTTTTCACATCGGTCAAACGGCTGATGTGGTTCCGACCTGTGTGAAAAGTAGAGACTTTTCACATCGACTGTTCAGTGCCCGATCTAGAATATAGTCCAAAACTGCGTTTTAAATGATATTTCACATAGGTGGTCATAACCCATGTGTAAAAGATTTCACATTGGTCAATTTGTCAACCAATGTGAAAAGCTTCATTTTTTTCAGAACATATGTGTTTCACATTGGTTATAACCCATGTAGAAAAGCAATCACGTCGGTTATTTTACAACTGATGTGAAAAGCTTCAATTTTCTCAATATTTTTCAGGAAAAAAAATTGCAATACGACCCCGTTTATACTATATTCACATCATTAACAGTATCATCAACCACTATAGCACAATTTTTCATCCGTTCACTTGATCCATCTAAAACAATAACACGAGCTATTTTTCAATTATTCCACAAATGTTAAACAAGTTCAAGTAACACCTTAGTACATAATAATAAGCTAAAATAAAATAATCCTTGCACAAGTCTAGAGTAATAACACATTGTATAAATTTACAAGACTCATCATCACTCAAAAACTTAAACAGACACGTTTATCATGCGTCGTTGATGGATTGCGTCATTTCTAAGAAATACGATGCCCAACGAGTTCGTACTTCATCAATCTCTTCTGATGAGAATGGTTTTGGATCGACTAATCACTACAAATTAAATAAGAAAGTTATTAAAAAATATTACATATGTAATAGAAATTGTATTTGGTCATAATATGTGTACGAAGATTTATTAAAGACATTATTAAAAACATTACATGATACAAAAATGAAACTTTTACAAATGAAACACTTAACTAATAAAGAAATAGCCCTAAATTAGAGTGAAAATTTATCCTACTCTTTGAATATGTGTACATATTCTATATTCCCTAAATAGTACTACCCATTCTTTTCCTACCACTTATTCCCCAACATAATCAGGTCACTCCGTGAGTGGCGGCGACACGTAACTCGGAAGCGGTGGCCAGGCACTTGCAGCCACAATTAGGTCGACTATATTTGAATGGTTTCAAATGAAAAATTACTATAGACATCTGAAGCAATATTAATTTTAAAGTGAAAACAAGCATTCTACTGTCATTTAAATAATTCATGTATTTTAGTAAAAATGAATAATGTACTCCGTATTATTATTTAAGGATAATGATTTCCTAGTAAAAGCAATGGAAATAATATATATTAAAAATCTTTCACTAAAGTAAGTACATTTACGGTGTGAGTACATGGTAATGATGGTATAGTTATTTGATTATTTGATAAATCATTTTAGTTTTCACTCTTGCTTGCCCAAATTGTCACTAGTGAAAACCAAACGACCAGGGCCAACCTCAAGACAGCGTAATGCCTGTTTCGAGAAGATCTCCCCCTTAAAAAAACTAAAATTCAAGTAAGTTATATAAAAATAGGAGTAAAAATTTAGAAAGCCCTGAGTACAGTATAAATGTAGCTCCAGCCTACCTACGATGGAAGATCATATGCACTAACTGTGTTGTCATTGCAAGAGCAAAAAATTTTACACGTAGCTTTTCACAAAAAATAGAACCTGACATTCAATTCACAATCAAAGATAAAAACTAAGAAAAATAAAAAACTTTAGCATGAATGCTAAAGCTTAAACTTTTAGAATTACCATCTAGGAACGCAAACATTGACTAATGCCATTTTGAAAAAAGAAAGAAAGATCACCTAAGCATTTTATCCCATATGCAGCTATATGATACAATATAAGTTTCACTTCTCAATTCATTTAAAATGAACATTAATCCATGTTTTGTTTTCGTGTTGCTTTATACTAACAAAATTTAGGACATTAAAGCCTACCCCTTATCCCACCTGTGTAAAAACAACTTGCACTACCTCAAGCTTTCAAGTACCAAAGATTGTACTTGTATTAGTTCATTCATGATTGTTTTAATCTCTTCAAGTAACCATTTCTAGACTCACATTTTCACCTACACCATATGAATAAGCAGACTAAGAGCTTGAGATGACCTGTACAATCTGCAAGAATATAGTAATATATAGATAAAACAAACAGCAAAAATATTGTAATATGTAGATAAAAGAATCTGCAAGAATATAGTAAAGAATCGGCAAGAATATAGTAATATATTGAATACTGGGTCCACTTTAAAGTATACTACAAATGCAATTAAAATTCTGTTTTTCTATATCATGTAAGCATTTCATCCAACAACATATATGCAGAATAAATATTTTTTCGATAAAGAAAGCAAAATTCTCTAATATAGAATTGAAACTACTATATATTCAATCATACTACGTAAAAATGGAGACCTGGACATCGGTGTAGAAGAAGATGGTGGAAGAGTTACACTTTGACGGTTGAGCGGCGCAATGTTGGATGGAATTATTCTTAGTTGAAGTTGGTTTTATAGACATGGTGTTGCTACATGTTTGATGGTGGTGCCTTTTCATTACCTGGGTAGTAGCACTTCCTTGATCTTTCAATTTTCAAGTAGACAAAAATCAAAACCGAGTTACTACTTCACAGGCTTCACTAATAGATCGCGAGGGCCGAGATGTACAAAAAATAGATTAAGAACACCATCCAATGCACCCTTTAATCACCCAGATGCTTCGGAATTGCTAAAGTGAAATCTGGAATATTAAATAGACAAATTCTAGTATACACATTAGGCCAACGAGCATTTGAACTTGCATACCATAATTTGTATTGCGGAAGTCTAAGAGACAACTTTCATAGCAAAGTAAGCTTTGCAGTCGCCGCTCAAATTGGCGCCCAAATTAGCCCTGCAACTATTCCTTTTTTAATAATATATAGATTCCCAACTTTTGAGCTATAGAATCTGCCATTCTGAGATTTTTATTGGTTAGGCAAGAGACAGATTTAGCATAAAAGCGTATAAGAAAGAGTTAGTCAGCGGTGCAGAGCACTAATTGCGAAGCCTTGA